AGGTAGTAGAAGGCGGCTTGCAGCAGATCTGCGCTGTAAAAATATTTAGTGAATTTCAGATTGGTCATCGTAAACATTTCCGACTTAGAGCATGTCATGGATTTCCCCTAATGCTCCAAAAAATGCCTGCATTTCCTCGGAAATCCGTTCTTTGTGTAATTTTCCCCTGCTTCTTCGTGAAATATTGCAGATATGGGACCGAAATTAAAAGTCCGACCTTCAAGCGAACGATCCTTTGCTCGTTCGCGTCGCAAAAGCCTCTTCAGAATATTTTCCGAAAATTCCTCACGATGATACGGATGGTTCCTAAGGGGAGCAACTTCCCCTCTTACTTTCCCTTTGAGATGGCAGAGGGGCGAGAAAGAGGCCCAATCTTTTTCGAAAGCAATTAGGAAGAGATGCTGAATTAAAGAAAAGTATTTTTTTTTTCGAGAAATGAATGCAATTAAGGATTCTCCAAATGAGAAGAAAAATCTCATGCACACAAATTACGCACTTTAACAGAAAAAAAAACCTATTCCGACGATGAATAGGAATTTACAGGACAAAGAGAGGAAAGCCCCTTAGCGCATCAGTCGGAAGGATCGATTCCGAGGTATTCTGAGAAGAGCGTTTAAGAGAGGAAGAAGAAAAAATTGCATGAGGCGGAATTCCATTTTCTGCGCAGTAGATGAAAACTCTCTTTCCGGTGCTTTACTCGGAATTTTCCTCTGATTATTTTTATTTGTTGCAATGCGGGAATCCGTACCGGGAATTCACATCTGCGGAAGACAGCAGGTCGAAACGAACGAAAGTATGGCAGAACGCCAATGAACGGAGACGAGTAAAAGGATAGTGGAATAGTATGACCTTCCGACATTTCCAGAGAGATATGTCGATCGACTCGACAAATTCTAAAAAGCACTCATCCGATCTACATCGGGGAGTTAATAAAATAATCAATGCATATCAGTGCAGCAAATCGCTCGAAAAAGAAGTCTCCATTATTCCGTCACTGATAAAAGCGCCCAGCAAGTTCTTCCTCGGTCACAAAAGAGCTCACTCACTTTGAGATCGCCTCCTTGAAGAATCGCCCCAATCCCGCCGAATGCGCCTCATCTCGGACGTCTTCAGCGACGGCAGGACAGTCCCCGCAGCGCCGTGAAAAACTCCCTGGACGTCACAGCGTAGACGATCGGATTGACCAGGGAGTTCGCGTAGCAGAGCCAGAAGCTAGCGGCCAGCAGAGGGTCCGGGACTCCGCACTGAGGACACAACATAGCTGCCGACCGACAAAAGGGCAAACCCCAGAAATGTTTAAGACTGCAAGAAATCGACACGAGAGTATCGCGCATAAAATCTCGTCCCTAAAAGGGAAAATCCATTGGGATTTTTAATTAACCGGGCCCCTGATCTGAGAGACCATCGGCCTGGCCGGAATTCACGAAACGAGCCGTGATCGACTGGCTCCATTTTCCCACACATTGCGAAATGAAAAGAAACACGTCCACGATGATAAGAAAAAAAAGAGTCTTTAAGAAACATGCAGCAATCGTAGCATTGCCCGATGGGCGATCCGTTTCCTTGCGCGCCCTCTGCTTCAATCGGGAAAGAGAGGAGAGAAAATTGGGGCGGAGCTAGAATTGGCCGTCATCAGAAATTGGCAGAAATCAGTCGTTTCTCGACATTTGATCAATAGTTGCAACTGAGTAGGTACTTTCGCGAGAACCATTCGAAAGAGACCGTCACATCTCTCAGAAGCAAACTCGGAACTCAAATTTGATCTTGTCTTTGATGAAACCTCAACATTTCATGGAAAATGTAATTCATCTCCTCAAGCGATGTATTGGTTGTCTTTGCGTCAGCCGAAAGTTTCATTCGCTGGGGATTAAAATGCGATTCGGCAAGGAATTGATCCACTCCAACGCGCGTGTGTTGAAATCTCGATGGAGAATGCAGATTCATATCGGCGTGAGAGGAAGATTGAAATGGATCCAAATTATGCATTTCTCCCCCCACCCCCTCCTTCCCCCCAATCCCCCAATTGAAATTACTGAAGAAGCATTTTCGTTTTTTTCTGACGTTCTTCATACGATCTGGGAGAGCCTTCAAATAATATCATTCGCGATATTTGTCGTTTACAAAGGTTCCGCGCGTGTGTGTGTGTGCGTCTGGTTTCATTAGTGCGTTTCGATACGACTGTGATTCAATGGGCACTTGAATACATTCTTATATTTAACTAATCCTCTTGTAGGACAAAATAAAATTACATCACTCCGACCTGATGCACGACTCCAGAATGAAGCAATGCACAGGAAAAGAAATGGACAGGATTCGAAATTAGATTGGAACAGACCACCGAGCGTTGCATCCCCTCCACTTGCGCCCGAAGGACACGAGAAGATTCGATTCGATCGATAGCTTCCTAGCCTTACCGAGGGATTGGACGACAAAGAGCGGGAACCAGCAGACGACATAGACGCAGACCATGATGGCAGTCGTCTTGGCTGCCTTCGCCTGCAGACGGACCTTATGGATCAGTTGGTTCTTCGGTCTCGGAGAGAGCACTTGCGGGATGGAATCCCGCGGTCTCGTGAGGATCTCGTCGATGCTCAGCTTGCGAGGTGCGATCGAGACGCGTCTCGTTTCCTCCTCGACATCGCTGGTGGAAAAACTGGAGAACCAACCGATTAAAAATTATCTTTCTTTTCCCGCGAGAGCAAGAGGCTCCTCGAGAAGAATCGAGTCCGCTCGGCATGCGTCAACCCTTCAAGGTAATGCAAACTTCAATCGAGAGAAGTATCTTCGGGTTCCCCTGGGATTCATCCAGGCCTTTGGACTCTTTCGCTTAGGTATCAATAATCAGGATCCAATTTACCCTGTGAGAGAAATTATCTTCCCCTGAGTTTCTTTTCCAGATTCCTGTGCTTATTAAGCTGAACGTGAACGTCATTCTTTTATGAGCATAAATTCCAGGAAAATAATAGATTTCATTTCCCCGATTCATGACTGGATAATATATATTACCGTGATAATATTGGATTTGTATTCAGATTTGTATTTGTATAGAAGAGGTTTCCTAACATTCTTGTAATGGTCCCGAAAAATGTTTCACAGCTTTTATGTGGACATCTCAATTCCTTTTATTTACTTCTTTTGATGAAGGACTTACCGTAAATTACTGGACTGAAAGGGCAAGAAAATAAATAATTTTTATATCAAGATTGTTAAATTTAGATATACCTCGTATATCTAAATGCAGTTTTAAAAAAAACACACACACACAAAACTGCACACATGCAGTTTTAAAAAATTTCCCAAAACTTCAAATATTAAAGCCAATATTTTTTTACTCGGAATAAATACTTCATCAAAGCAAAAATATTAATTTACTTGGCAATCATCTTTTGATTATGCTTTCTTTCATTATTAATTTGACCCAGAAGGAAAGACAAAAGCAGAGACGTTTGCATCAAATATTTCACTCGTGACATTTTGATCCATTTCTGAGACGGCTCAGAACACTATCAACAATTTTGCACGCTTGAGATGGAACGATCCATGCGAGCAAATATATTAATGAGAAATGTCAATCGCTAAGGAAGATGTGATGCACATTAAGCCACTTTTCTTCTCCTCAAGGGGCTACAGGCGACTGTCATATGAGCGGTTGCGAGACGTCTCTGGGAAGTATGACCTAATAGCGCTTTATAGGACCGAAATTTGAACTTCATCATGAAACTCGCTCTTATATCGCCAAACGACATGGCTTCGTTTTACGGAGACTTGTGCAAGGATGTTTTTTAGGGCCGACGTTTTCAAGTTTTTTTTTTGTCCTGGCGTATTGAGCTAGTGTGGAAAGATGAAACGTGGTACATAAATACCTATTGGGATGCTGCAGAAAAATTCAGACTTTGGAAGTAAATGCCCTGGGGGCACAAATTTCAAAGGGAGATGTTTTCAACTAATTTTTTTGTGTCAGCTAAACTGATAAACATGGAAAGCTGGAACTTTGCATGTATGTGACTACTGAGACAAGGAGTTAAATAAAAATGTTAGGTCTCGATACATCCCCTGGAGGAATTTTTTCGAGGGGCGATGTTTTGAAAAAAAAATTGTCGTGGCGAATTGGACAGAAATGGAATGGTGAAACTTGGCACACGTATAAGTGACATGATATTATTGATTTGAGGGAGTATTCAGCTTTCATGGTGCATCCCCTCCGGGCATAGCTTTTGGGTCTGTCGGCAATTCTAAACATGTTTTTTCACCAGCGAAAAGGGCAAGCGTATAATATTGAAACTTTGCGGGCATGTAGTTCACTGAGGATGGATTTCGGTAAGAAAAAAAAAAGAAGGTACTTTTCGGTTAAAACGGCTCAGGGCACATATTTTGCAAAAGGCATATTTTCCCAAATTTTCTGATCCAGCAAAACAGGGCGCTAGAAAGTTTAAACTTGGCAAAGAAGTACCTGATGGACAGCTGAGTAAAGAAAAAATTTTTACTTTTATTATATATAGATGATCGTGAGTAGCTGATTGACATAAGTAGCTATTCGCATGCTGAGTTCAGGAAAAATTCTACTTTGGTGATACATGCCATAGGGGCACACCTTTTCGGGGAACATATTTTCAAATAGTTCTCTTTGCTTCAATCAAACGGAGACACATGGAAAGCTGAAACTTGGCAAAAAAGTGACCGCTGACGCACTGAGCTCAAATGGCAAACGTCAAATTTCCAAAATATTTTTGGGGTTCATATTTCTTGGGGACGTAACGTTTTCAAATAATTTTTTATATCCTACCGAATCGGGCAGAAATAGAAAAGTAGCTGGCGCAAGCATAACAGACGTAATGTTGATATGAGGAAAAATTCAACTTTTTTTGTGAGTCTCCCGAGATTTATGCCTGCCCCGTTCGAATTTGCAAGGACAAATATATTTTTCAGATACTTAAACGTGTCGTCTTCGACATTAAACGAATGGGAAATTACATCTTTGTATTTAAATTGATATTGTGGTCTCACCTTCGACTTTTTTTGCGAAAATTGCTGCATTGCCGATGCTGAAAATGCATGAAATCGAAAGATTTGTTCTTGAAAGTGCATGCCACGGAATTTATCCTCGTTTCGTGGATGGTAAAGGGATGAGCCGCTGGGTCGATACCAGATTCAAAACATTGGTTAGTGTCGGCAGATGACCCTCGGCCTACCGATGTCGTGCTGGTCTCGCCCCGATTGATCCTCAGGGACTCACAATCCGATTCGTCCTGGCCCTGCCTCAAAGCTGAGACGGCTTTCCGATACACTTTCCAATACAAGACGAGGAGAACGATGGAAGGAATAAGGATATTCACGATGCCTCTGATGATAATATACCGAGAGTCGATCGTCACAGAGCAGAAGTTAATCTTGGCCGGCTTCTCCTCCAAACCCACGAGTAGTCCCAGGCTCATCGCCAGGCTGATGAGCCAAATAAAGGCGATGGCCCACTGCGTCCGGGATCGGCTCATGATCCGACCGTGCGCCAAAGGTCGGCTCACGCCAATATATCGGTCCACTGAAATCGCACACAGGGACAAGACCGTCGCCCCGCAGCACAGTTTGTCCAGGAATACCCAGATCCGACACAGTGCATGGCCGAACTTCCATTCCCCGCCGAACTGAATGAGAGCAGAGAACGGCAGAACCAGGATTCCCGTCACGATGTAACTCACTGCCAAGTTCCCCATGAAGAGATGCGTAGGGCTCCTCANGTGGTCTGTTCCAATCTAATTTCGAATCCTGTCCATTTCTTTTCCTGTGCATTGCTTCATTCTGGAGTCGTGCATCAGGTCGGAGTGATGTAATTTTATTTTGTCCTACAAGAGGATTAGTTAAATACAAGAATGTATTCAAGTGCCCATTGAATCACAGTCGTATCAAAAGACACTAATGAAACCAGACGCACACACACGTGCGGGCAAGCACGTGGAACCTTTGGAAACGATAAATACACAAATGATATTTGAAGGCCCTCCCAGATCGTATGAAGAACGTCAGAAAAACGAAAATGCTTCTACAGTAATTTCAATTGGGGGGTTGGGGGGATTGAGTGGGGGGGGGGGGAGAAATGGATCATTTGGATCCATTTCAATCTTCCTCTCACACCGATATGAATCTGCATTCTCCGTCGAGATTTCCTCGCAAGCGCGTGGGAATGGATCAATTCCTTGCCGAATCGCATTTTAATCCCCAGCGAATGAAAATGATGCAAAGACAACCAATATATCGCTTGAGGAGATTAAATACTTTTTCTATGAAATGTTGAGGTTTCATCAAAGACAAGATTAAATGTGAGTTCCAAGGAAGGTTTGCTTCTCAGAGATGTGACGGTCTCTTTGGAATGGTTCTCGCGAAATTACCTACTCGGGTTCAACTATTGATCAAATGTCGAGAAAGGACTGATTTCTCCCTGACGGCCAATTCAAGCTCCCCCCCAATTTTCTCCTCCCTTTCCCGATTGATGCAGAGGAAAACGGATCGCCCATCGGGCAATGCTACGATTGCTGCATGTTTCTTAAAAACTCTTTCTTATTATCGTGGATTCTTCATTTCGTAATGTGTGCAAAAATGGAACCAGTTGATCACGGCTCGTTTCGTGAATTCCGGCCAGGCCAATGGTCTCTCAGATCAGGGGCCCAGTTAATTGACAATCCCAATGGATTTTCCCTTTTAGGGACGCGATTTTATGTGCGATTCTCTTGTGTCGATTTCTTGCAGTCTTAAATATTTCTGGGTTCTGGGTTCCTCTTTGTCGGTCGGCAGCTATGTTGTGTCCTCAGTGCGGAGTCCCGGACCCACTGCTGGCCGCGTGCTTCTGGCTCTGCTACGCCAACTCCCTCATCAATCCGATCGTCTACGCAGTGACGTCCAGGGAGTTTTGCACGGCGCTGCGGGGGTTGCTATGCCGTCGCTGACGAAGTCGGAGGTCCGAGATGAGTCGCATTCGGCGGGATTGGGGCGATTCTTCAAAGAGGCGATCTCAAAGTGAGTGAGCTCTTGCATGCCCAAGGAAGAACTTGCTAGTCGTTCCTTTTAATTACAGAATAATGGAGACGTTTTTCGAGCGATTTGCTGCGCTGATACGCATGGATTATTTTATTAACTCCCCGATGTAAATTCGGATGAGTGCTTTTTAGAATTTGTCGAGTCGATCGACATATCTCTCTGGAAATGTTGAAAGGTCATACGACTCCACTAGCCTTTTACTCGTCTCCGTCAATAAGCGCTCTACCGTACTTTCGTTCTTTTCGATCTGCTGTCTTCCGCAGATGTGAATTCCCTGTATGGATTCTCGCATTCCAAAAAAAAAAATCGGAGGAAAATTTCGAGTAAAGCACGGAAAAGAAAGTTTCCATCTATTGGGCAGAAAATGAAATTCCGCCTCATGCAACTTTTTCTTCTTCCTCTCTTAAACGTTCTTCTCAAATTAATCGGAATCGATCCTTCCGACTGATGCGCTAAGGGGGTTTCCTCTCTTTGTCCTGTAAATTCCTATTCATTAGTCGGAATAGGTTTTTTTTCTGTTAAAGTGCGTAATTTGTGTGCATGAGATTTTTCTTCTCATTTGGAGAATCCTTATTTGCATTCATTTCTCGAAAAAAAAAACTTTTCTTTAATTCAGCATCTCTTCCTAATTGCTTTCGAAAAAGAGTGGGCCTCCTTCTCACCCCTCTGCCGTCTCGAAGGGGAATTTGAGGGCCAAGGGCCATAGGAGCCATCTCGGCGTGAACGAGCAAAGGATCGTTCGCGGGAAGGTCGGACTTTTAATTTAGGTCCCATATCTGTAATGTTTCACGAAGAAGCAGGGGAAAATTACGCAAAGAACGTGAAGTTGGATTTCCGAGGAAATGCAGGAATTTTTTTTAGAGCTTTAGGGGAAATCTAGGTTGACATGCTCTAAGTCGGAAATTTTTACTATGACCAATCTGAAATTCACTAAATATTTTCACAGTGCAGATCTGCTGCAAACCGCCTTCTACTACCTGTTCTCCGCCAACTCCCTGCTCGACCCGTTCGTCTGCGAGGCGGCGTCGAGGGAGTTTTGGAGGGGGCTGCGGCGGATGCTCTGCAGGGAGAGTCGGGGTCGCGGCTTTCATCCCAGACTGGCTCGTTGCCATCTGCCTTCTTTCATCGTCTTCGTGCTTCGCTGTATCGTCTTCGGAGTTGGTGTTTGTCATCGCTATCTTCTGGATGGTGGGAATGTCGGAGCGTCGATCATTTTATTGCGACTTCACTCGGACCAGTGGACCTATCGCTTTTGATTTGAATTATTTTTTCCCTAATATATTCTTCCCTCCTGCCGATCTCATCTGGAGTCATGGCTTAAGTTTTGGCAGAAAATCTGAAAATGTTTTCTGCTCATTCGCACTATCACATTCTGCGGTTCTGTGACCAAAGAATTTGAAATCATAGACTTAATCGTGAGAAACATCTGGATCCACTCGTGATCGAAAAAAAAAAAGCAGGATGGAAAATTTATACATCCGCAATTTTGCGAATGTTGAACCCGTAAAGTGATTTGGTTATTGTCTCGATTGTCGGTCGTGCTGATTCAAAATCCAACTTATATTTTGGCAGAAGATTTGGCTAAATTTGCAACAATTGCCGAAAATGACGTAAAAATGACATTGGAAGAAGTTAAAATAATCATTTTCTTTTTCAAATTAAGCCTGGCCTAATCTGTTCTGGTCGCCTATCAGAAGTTTGGGAACAAGAAGAAGCAAGCCTCGTCTTTTGTCGCTCGAAGTTATACGCATAAGATACATTGTTTCGAATTTCCTTTTTTGTATTTCAACGTAACAGCACTTGCGACAGGACATTCGTTCGATATTTTTTTCACCCGCGAGCAGTTTTGTCCTTTGTCATTTACACAACGCAAGACGAACATGGTAATGAGTAAAATAATTTCTGAACACTTCTCTGCACCAAATTGGTTCTTGCCCACCCCAGGAATTTATGGTCCTTGCCGATGAACAATCGACTGGACACCAATGGAAACTATTTGAAAGAGGGAAATACATGAAACATATGCATTTGCTCCCCACTTTCGCCACATGTTCGTCGGGAAAAAAAAAAACAATAACTCGACTTTAACTGAGTGAGAAACTAGATCTCCATCCTTTTTCGCAGGATATTCTAATTTACTGGAAAATATTGACTGAGAAAGGAAAACCGCGGCTTCGGACCAACTAGATAAGAGAAGATGGAATAAATATAGGGTGATTTGGGGTCATATGGCCCTTCACAGCCCATCCCCTTACAGATTGAAGATTTACTAAGTGCGAATTTTAAAAATAGTTCTATCGGGGAGCATATACAATTGCGAAATTAATCCAGTGCTCACGGGTATTTGCGAAAAATTCAAATTTTCTTAAATAGTCATGTGCACGCGATTATTCCACTCACGACAAAGAAACAAGCATGAGCCTTGAGCAATTTAAGCGTATATTTCCCAATAGCAGCATGGACACATAAAACCATTTTTTCCAAGTTATTCTATGGTCCCTCCACAATGCTTATGGAATGCGTTTGCTCCTTCACCTGCGGTTTGCACGCAGTATTCTCAATTTTCTTCGCGGGAGCCAACGTGGAGGAATATGACCATGTCGATTTGGGGCAATATGGACACATCCTTGATTTCGTGGAAACACCGAGCTGACCTATCGGCAGTGACAGATTCCTTTCACCTGGGAACTCAGGCAGCATCCTATACTCAGGTCCTGGATATACGCTGCGGACGGAAGGAGTTCCACTGCAAATCCGCACCAAATTGGCAGTTGATATTCTCATACAACGCGTCCTTGACATCAGCTGGATATACTCCAGAAATTTGAACGCAGGTAAATATTCATCGAACAAAAGCTTACAATGTCATCCTGTGATTTTTTTTTAAAGTACGATTTATGCGCATAATCAAATTGAAATGCTACATTTTCCCCGCACTATAGGATTTACTTACCACTCGTAGCGCATGTTAACTTCGATCCATGCAAGATCTCTTAAACCCACAGTCTCTAAATACGATCTCCCAATCACGTGCAATGCTACTCATAGCCAAAAGCGTCGAAATCCTGCCTTCAATAGTAACTCATGGAGTCTGATGATGATCTTGACTTCTTTGCTTGTCCTCGAGGCAGTCATTATTGTTGCTTTCAGCTGCATAACCGCATTTTTTTGCTTCAAGGTACTCAACATGTTCAAGCATATTTCGCTTAAGTTCTCTTGTGAGAAGTGGCCATGTTTCCCTTATGCCTGGCCATGTTTCCCTTATGTCTGGCCATGTTTCCCTTATGCCTGGCCATGTTTCCCTTATGCCTGGCCATTTTTCCCTTATGCCTGGCCATGTTTCCCCCACGATAGAGGTAATTAGACCTCTTGGGACCAACTTCGAAAGAATCCAAATGCGCAACATCCATGTCTTTTCCCTGTGCCTTTTTTGGATCGATGAAAGGAAACATCAATCTATATTTTAGAAATATTGACTAAGTCAAATTCGTTCTTGATGGGCCGTTAGGACCAGGTTTCATACGTTCCCCCAAATCACCCTATATATTTTTTTAAAGGGCATTGGGCACACAGGGGGGGGGGAATTGCTCATTTAAACCGGCTTTTCCTTTCCGTCGCGAGGTTATGAAATACGGTCGGAGTCGTTTTGGCTTCACATTACTCTTTAAAAGGAGAGGTTGCT